AGCAGAGATGACATCCATGCCCCTAACAGGCTTCCATGTGAGCTGCTCTGGAATCTCCATTAGCCTCCAAGCTGTCCTACTGGCATATCACTGGCAAGCAGTGGAAGGATCCCTGCAGGAAGGAGCCCGTGGAGGCCTGCACTTCGTCAGCCTCCTCTGATACTGTCTGAGCATCATGTTCAAGTCATGATGCCTGTTCAAGTCATGCCTCAGGCGCTCATCCTGACCATGGGCCCTCCCCCCTCTCCGTAGCTCTGTGCTCTGGTGTGTGTCCGTGTGTCTTACTTACCCAGCTCCGTCTGGAGTTTCTCTGTAGAAGAGAGAGATTGACATATTGAGGAACTTGGTGTGAGGAAAAGGTAGACATGATTGCAATAAAACAAAAGCAAGTTTTACTTCGGGTGGAAAACTCAATTCACTAAAACAAGAAAAAGGTAAATACAGAAAAAACATTCATCAATCCCAGCAATAACCTGGCTATCCCAACTGGTTTTCCTAGTCTCTGCACAAAAGATATGCTCTCAGTCCTGCCACCGCCAGTTTCTGTTTGTTGATGCTGATATTGAACATAATGCTATGTAGCTATCAGTTTAAAAATCACGCATGCACATTTCATAAAGACATAGAAAGCTTACAACATATGGGCATAGAAATAATCAACTATAATTCTAATGGAGAGATGATCTATATACATGAGAATCTTCCTATGGTATTTGAATGATATTTATATGTGTAATATCTTCCTGTGGTATTTGAATGATATTTATATATGTATAACATTTTATATGCATATTATTTTTTCTATACCCATTTATAATCACAAAAATAACTATATGTTTATACTTAAGTACACACAGGATATGCTAATTTCCCTAGTGAAGTTGTAAGTTATTTTAGCTAATATGGTTCCATGAGTGGACTGTGTGTTTAGAAAGACAGATGATAGATGAATGGCTAGATAATTACAGATGTTATCTTTATCATTGAGTAATACATTGTGATAATTCTTCAGCCTTTTAAATATTATTTAGAACATAAATAATATTTCAAGTTATTTAAAAAATCATTTCCATCAATGTTATAATTTTTAGTAAAATAAGATGTTTAACTCTCCACTGACGTGCTCAGCTGTTTTGGTTTTGTAATGGCGTTGGTTGCTATATTTTATTTTATTTATTTCTTGCTGTATTTTGGCTTTAACAAATGAACATTTAGTTCCTCACAGTTTAGGAAGCTGGAAGTCCAGACTGGGTGTGCCGGGATTAGTGGAAGGCTCTCTCACTGTCAGCTCTCAGCGAAAGTCCTTGTCCCTTGAGCTTCGCGTCTTGGATGGCCATTAGGTGTCCTGGCAAATTTCTCCTTGCTTATTCTACACCTGATTCATTCATTTTACATCTCAAGAGGTAATTACCACAGGACACGCCATACTTTTCTTCTTCATTAACATAACTAAGCAAACATTGCCAAATGGTATCCTAGCTACAAGGATGCCAAAACTTTTCTCTCAGTTCTTCCTCCTAGCAACCCGATTGGTCAGAGTCGATCTGCCCCTAGGGTTGCTAAGGCTGCAGCTCTTGCTTTATCTTCCTTCGACTGAGCGTCTCCTGGATTGAATCCACCCACCTTTCCGCTAGCAGTCGAGTGCTGGAACCACCGCACCACCAGACAGGGACTTGGATAGAGGGATTACAATTACAGCACATAGTTCGGAGGGATGCAGTTCAGTCCATAACAGCATTGCCATCACAACCCACACTGAAACGCAAGCGTGCTGTGTGTTGGCTCTGAGGTCATTCAGCCAGCCAGAAAGAAAGGCAACTAAGAGTGTAAAGTATAATTCAATATCACATCCGGTGCACAGACGCTTCCCCCGCCTCATTCAATCAATTCTCTGATGTTCCATTGGCTAGACTGTTCTTTCTCTATTCAAGTCTTTGAAGCCTGAATTCAGCAGCCACATGAATTTTGAAAATGTGTGACAAAAACCATATGACAGAGAGAGCTGGAAGGGAGCGAGTCAGTTATAACTCATATTCACAACCATGGAGAAAGGAAGGCAAGTCATTGGATCAACTGCTCCGATGGCCTGGAGACGAATAGACCGATCCACCCTGCATCCCGGACTTCACAGAAGAACGGTGTCATCTGACCTCTGACCCTTGAGGACCTCCCACAATGCCGTGACTTCTTTCATAGTTTTATTAGCATATGATTCACGTATCATATTATTTAATTGTTCAAACATATTAAGAAGAGTTGGGCAATCACCACCACAACTTCAGAACATTTTCTTCTCTTATTCATTGTTGTTAGCCCTTATTTCCCCTCAACCTTCCCTGCCATGCCCCTAAGTAATTATTAATCCAGTTACTGTCTCTATAGATGCACCTATCCTGGACTTCACGTGTTGTTGTAAATGTTATTTATAATTAAATACATTTATAAATGTTCTTTATAATTAAGATGCTATTATGGAAATAGCTATCTCTATCTAGTGATCACCACAATACACAAAGAATACCCTTTCCTTAAAAGAATTTAGTTTCACTTTCTTTAAAATATGATATGCATGCACATGATGAGAGAAAATCAATGAGGAAATGAAGGGGGGGAAGGAGAACCTGAGAATAACTCAACAGCTTAGCAGCTGGACAATCAAACTCTCGTATGTCTATTTCCAGAGGCAAATAGTTGATAGATTTGTAAAACCTGTGAGTATACATCATGGAGATGTTTTGATAAAAAGTCACTAGGAGTGATGGAACAATTCCTGGACCATCTATTACTCTGAACACACTGCTCCAAGAGATTGAGCACTGACCTGGGATGGAGATGGTGGACCACTTCTCCTCACCAAGGATGGGGCTGTGGATGACACAGGACAGGATCTCCGTAGCAGAGTCCCGGACCACAAGCATGGATTCCACATAGAACAGGCCATCTTCACCTTGGATGTGGTGTTCTAAAAGCGTCGGTATATTCTCTCCTCTGGCATTTTTCCAGTACACTTCAGGCTTTGGGAACCAGCCTTTTGCAGTGCACACAAGTTCGACTCCACTGTCCACAGTGCCCTCCATGTGAATGTCGGGGGCAGATCCCAGAGCTATGATGGGAAAGCACGTTACCGAAGTCTAGAGTCAGAGAGCCACAAATCACAAAGACTGCAATTCAGAGCTATTCCTCACAGGGAGCGTTAAGAAATTCATGAGGCCAAGAAGCAGAAAATGACCCAAAGTCTTCCTCCTTTCTATTCGTTCCTATTTAATGGTTCCCCACGCGGGGGCTTTTCGTTTTAGCCCCGGAGCAGCGTCATTTGCCAGATCCAGACAGGAGACGAAGAAAAAGAGGGAGAGAAAGGAGGGAGAGGACCTTTTCCTCACGTTTTAATACTGCGCCTGACTTTTGATAATTTATTGAAGCCCTCTCCCATGCCAGAAATCTGCCTTTTTCATCTTAATATTATCTGTGTCGGCCCCTTTGATATTTTGGATGATTTCTCCATTTCAATTAAAACAAGCTATTTACTATAAAGGGAGAAATCTCACCCTTGGGCAATAATTTTCCCATCCCTTTCCTTGGTGGTTGTGATCTTGAGTTGCAAGTTAAAAACGGAGGCAAATGAAATGGGGACTTCCCACTAAACATTCCATCCACTGGGGAAAATATTGTTGAGAAACCTTTTTTAAAGAGCATTTACCACAAGTATAAATTTGCTTTGTAATATGATTCAACACTGCAATTTCTAAACCCAAGCAAAGGTGACTATAGATTCCCCACTGCTGGGAACTCTGGCTCTAGCACTTCCTGATGACAAGAGGCTCAGTCATTTCAGCCAGAACCTTAGAAGTTGCATAGCCAACTTTCAGATGTCCAAATACCGAGAGACATTCATGTGCCCCACCCCCATGTTTCAGTAACAAAAGGGCTGCCATCCATGGGCAATCGCTTTGAACATACGGCCAGTCATGGGTGGCCATGACCGTAACTGTCATGAGTATTTAAGGACAAGCAGATTCTAGAGGAAATACTCTTGTGGAAAGGAAAGGGAAAAAATGGCATCAGCCTGAGAACGATTTCCCTGGCAGGTGAAGAAATGTGTCCTCATTTCTTTTCCACAGGGAGGAGGCGTTCCTGTTAGGAAACCACATGCCATTGTACTTTTCAGGATTTCTTTCCCTAACAGAGATCCTTCTTTCGATAACTCTTCTTCCCCACCCATTTTTGGCTGGGCAATTCCAGGAGCATTCTGGGAAGCATTGCCATTCAAATGAGACATGTTCCAGAAGCAGTCATTGAACAGGAGTACATAATAATCTGATCATCGGACATGACTACATTCACCGGGCACTATTATATGATCATCTCCATAAAAGCACAATGCGTTTAGCCACTTTCATCCCACCACTAGCTTTCTAACTTGATGTCTGGTGCAAACAACAAGGACTGCAGACCTGAGGCTGGATAGAGAATAGCCAACTCCACTGAGATACAGACGCTTGATGGTCAGCTGGCTGTGCTCACTCAGAAAACGGCTTGTTCTTACCCTCCGCCTTAGGTGGCACAGAGGCAGGCCTCCGTAAAACTGCAAATGACTACACTGCGTGGATTCCAAATGATCCTCAAGAGCAGGGAAGACCGTGAAGACTAAACTTAGGAAGATATGTGATAAGTGAACGTGTGTTGAAGACTCTCGGACCCCTTGACTTCAGATGAGTCAGAGGTAAAGACTGGGCTTCAGAAATGTCCTTGGTGACTCCAAGGGAATTCTTCAACCAGCAATAATCTTACCACACACGACCTACTGTTCCCTCTGAGGCCCTATGTCTCTTTCCAGATAGTCACCTGCTACGTTGAGCTGCAAGCTTGTTTCTGCATGATGGTACTCCTCTTGGAACCGGCACCAGTATTGCCCGTTGTCAGATGGTTGGATGTTGTTAATCTTGAGAACCACACTGCCATCGGCAATGTTGACTTCTTTCCACTCTACCCGGCCTCTGTACTCCTCCATCTGCATCTCGGTGACCTCAGCCCCATCCTGGTATACAGACACAGATGTGCAGGGCTCCAAGCGGTACCACCTCACCTCCATGTGCCTCAAAGCCATCTTTGGAAGGAGCTGACAGGTTAGTAAGGCATCTTCCCCAACCTTGGCCAGGATCGGATAGGCAGGACCAATCACTTTAAAGTCATCTGAAAAATGGAGGGAAAAAGAAACACTAACTGGGGCTCAATATGCTTACTTGCTGATGTACAACTTGTTGACATGGAAGCACCTGGAAGAGGGGGACTTTAGTTCAAGGTTTTTAGAGAACCCCAGGATGATGATGTCTCTGTACAGTTGTTTTGGCTCCCTTTAAGATAATGAAAATTACATGAATGTTAGATATATCGCTTATACCTTTGAGATTTTGAGACAAATTTGCTATTCTCAGTGCCCCTGTAAGGCTCTAAGTCAAAGGTTACTGCCATCATGTGGACTCTGACTCAAAACGCCCCTATAGGACAGAGTCGAACTGCCTCCCTGGGCTCCTGAGACTACAGACTTTATGGGAGGAGTAAGCCTCCTCTTTTTCCTAGGGAACTGCTTGTGGAGTTGAACTGCTTGCCCTTAGCCGTCCAACACAGAACAACCTCACACCACCACCAGAGCTCCCCTTCAAGCTCAGCACCTCGATCTATTCTAGTTTAATCCACTGAAATCAGCGAGAACATAGAACTTATGCATTTGAATAGTGGTGTTGGTGAAGAATATTCAAAGTAGCACGGACTGCCAGGAAAGCAAACAAGTCTAGCTCCGAAGTGCAGCTGGAATGTCCCTTGGAAGTGACATCCGTCTTTTTTTTTAATTAATTAATATATTTATTTTGACATTTGTCTCTTGTACTTTGGGCATGTTATCAAGAGAGACTAGATCCTGAAAAAAGCCATCACTCTTGGTGAAGGGGAGGGCGACAGAAAAAGAGAAGGCCCCTCTGGAAGAAAGAGTGACACCGTGTCTACAAACATAACAACGCGGAGGAGGTGGATGGCCCGGGCCCCAGCAGTGTCCAGTCTGTTGTACTTGCAGCTGCTCTGAGTTGGAGCTGACTGAATGGTGCCCAATGGCAATAGGAGGAACCCTGGTGGCATCATGATGACGCATTGGGCTGCTAACCACAAGGCCAGCAGTTCAAAACCATCAGGTGCTTGGTCACGGGAAAAATGAAGCTTTCTACTCCCATAAAGGGTTAAGGTCTTGAAACCCCACAGACACAGTTCTAGAATGTCCTATAGGCTCACTGTGAGTCACAATCAACTCAATGGCAATGAGTGAATGAGCCATGACAATAGTAACAAATTTTCTAAAGTGGTCGTCCCGAGGTTGCTGTTAGTCTCAATATAATGTGTGGATTTATTTTAATTAATTACTTAATTATTGTCATAATCACCTTCCCAAAAATCCAGTTCATAAGCCTGCTCATTAGATTATAGTTTTGTAGGGTTTCTCTTGACCTCTCTAAGGAAGTGAGCTTAGCCTTTTTATTGGTTGAGGAGAGGGTAAGATTCTAGGTATTGGGGGCTCTGTAAAATCTAGCTCTCCCAAGAATATCTGTGGATGATGAAAGGCAATGATTTCACTTGAAATTTGGGCCTCATCAATGTTCAGTCACTTTTTGCCTCTTCATTGATGTCAACCACTAACCAGGGATACTTAATAATTTACACGTTTAAAATGGTCGATGCTATTTTGTTCAGTAATTGCAAGGTTCACATAAATGCCCTTCTCGTCTTCGAGTGCTCCTGGGCATTTTCTCTGTGCAAGGAACCTCGTCGTGTTTCATTGCTGCTCATCATCACGTAGACACAGCCCAAGTGGTCCTCACGACCCGCAGGGGAGCGCGGCTTGGATGCCTCATTGATGATGGCCACTGTGAAGTTCCCAATGAAGTTGTCCCGTCAGGTTGCCCTTGTTGACAGGTGAGGAAACTGAGCCTCAGAGAAGAGAAGACAGCCTCTGCACATCATGTGTCATGTGTCCACACAGGTTGACACTATGTTTCCTTTTGCCATTGTTTCTTCATAACCTCTTAAAATGGCCTACCATTTTGATGAAAAAATTCAGCCACGGAGATTTACAAGTGGATTTCCAATTTCCCAATATTTCCCTGTTAAATATGGAAATGATGTTGCTTTTTCATTATTTCCCCCCCTGA